CCACGCGCACTGGAGCTCCTCCAAGTGCACGGGATTCCCGGATCCCTGGTCCCGAGCCTCGAGAGCACCCGGGAGGCCGGAGCCCAGGGCGTGGCAGCTCGCCCTGGTGAGGTGCTCCTCAGAGCAGCGAGTAGCGAGCGGAGCCTTGGGCCTGAGAGCTCGGCCCCGCGTCCCTAGAATTCTGGCAGCGCCGGGAGAGATCCGCTCGGCCGCCACCCAACCTTCTCCCCGCCACGCCCGCCCCACACTCACCTCGGGAGCGCCACTGGCAACCGCAGCGATGCTGCCGGAGCTCGTTTCCTGTGCGCGAACGCCGGCTCCCCGCAGCTGCACACACACACCCGGTGCGCGCTTCTTTCACGCTCACGAGTGCGCGCGCGCGCGGGGTTCCGACGCCCGCAGCCCAGAGCTACCCTCGCCGCCGCTGTCCGCCACGGCAGCCGCGGGGGCTGGCATCGGCGTCGCAGTCTTGGGGCTGAAGTTCAGGTCTGTTTAAGACTCCCTCCTCTTTGGCACGTGCCGTCTTCCACAAGCTACCTAAATGCATAGCCAAAGGGCGGGATTGCATCACCAGGCTCATGGGGAAGGAAACCTGGGCAGGAATTCCTTGCATTCTCAGAAGGCGGGCTCTCCTTACAGGTGTGCAGAGAATGAAAGGTGAGGACCCTTCAGGTTCCTTAGGTCTGTGTGTGCAGGAGGCTCGGGGAGTCCGTCTCTGGCACCCAGCCCACACCCCCGGCGCCCCCAACTGCTTCTAGAAACAATCCATTCCTGTGGACACTTGGTTATCCCCACTCCCAATCATCCCCACCCAAATGGTGCCTCCCTGGGGGAGGGGAGGAGAGGGGAGGAGACAGGGAGGGGTCATGAGAGCTGGGTGTTGCTAAACTGGCCCTGCTTATCCTGGACCTTGGGTGGAGGTGGTTACATTCCAAAATAAAATTTCCTGTTTTTTTTTTTTTTTTTTTTTTTTTTTTTTTTTTTTTTTTTCAAAAAGGCTCCTGCTATGTGTCATCCGAAAACAAAGTCTCATTCTGGGCCTCATGTGGCTTTAGGATTGTAAACCTCTTGGCCTCACTCCACCGCAAAGGGAAGAATTCCTCAGTGCACACCTGCATACATGCAAGCAAAATTCAACAACTTGACAATCTACAAGAATGGTTTTCCCACTCTTTCCTAGATCAGACTGCATCTCCTAAACTAGTGACTTCTACACAACCAGATCAGGGTCATTACTTTTGAGAAACTAGAATTCTAAACGTCATCTAATATAGACACCATATTCAAGTTTTCCTGGTTTTCAAAAAATTACATTGGTTTGCTAGCTAGGTGATCTAATAAAGGTATGAATCTCTGTAGAATATTGATGTAAAACAACCTGTTTTCCTTTCATTGCAGTACTTTTGGAAGTCGCTCAGTGTCTCGTTTTGCCCTCCCAGCGTGATTTTAACTTACCTTTAGCTCTAGAATTTAAGTTGGTTCTTAAACCAGAGGCTTGATGCAATGGTAGCACTCCTGCGTGCATTCCTCAGTTCTTTTCACATTGTTCCCCATGGGGGAGAATATGACATCTTAAGCACAATCTCAGTTGTCTCTGAGCTAATACCACGAACATAAAGAGAGGTGTTCTCCAAATTTTTCCACTATAAACAAGGGTAGAGAGTATTTCTCTTTAGTGGTTAACAGGTAATATGTCATATGAAGATCTTGAAAATTCTTCGGAGGGCAGTGTTTTAAATTGCTTCAAGAAAAGAGAGTACTTAAGACTAATGTGTAGATAAGTCAATAACACTCCCAAGATTGTCAGATGGGACTTGTGGTGGCATGTTCTTTAGATGAGCTGTGACCACTTTTAAGCATGAAAAGCAGCTGCTGAGAGTCTATTTTGCTTTATTTAACCCTTTAAGAAAATGTCAGGCATGGGAGCCAAATCTGTGATTAAGACTCACATACTGTGTAATTTCTGTTGTTAACAAGTGCTGTGGAAGTATCAGGGTAGAGGGATACGGTAGGAGTGTCTTTACAAGCAGAGTGGTGTCCACATCACTGAAAATCTGACATTGTTGGAAAACCTAATTTTTGATCAGTTGTCCCTTTCCACCCACCATTGTGGCTTTTAAGTACAAGGAATTGTGACATCAGCCATGAGACTTTGAAAACAAGCCCAAGTACTTAGATAATATAGCAAAATAACCCTCCAGATTTTTCTGCCACCTGTGACTTCAGGTATCCTAGCAGTAGATACACATCAAAACTGAGTTGGATGCTAGCTTTACTTAAAGAATCCCAGTGCTCTGTGTTTTGTGTACTTTGGGCTTCCTGAGAGTATTTATGAATACTTCTACTAAAAGAAGTGATGTTCTGCAGGGTCTTGTGACATGTGTTTTAAGATTTGACAAAATCTTAGCTCGGTATGATGGTGCATGCCTTTAATCCTAGCACTGGGGAGGCAGAGGCAGGCATATCTCTGTGAATTCAAGGCCAGCCTGATCTACAAAGTGAGTTCCAAGACAGCCAGGGCTGTTACACAGAGAAACCCTATCTAGAAAAACAAACAAACAAAAAAGGTTTGACAAAATTCAGGTGTTTCCTATATTAACTTGGGTGTATAAAGTCAACTTTCCCATATCCATTTTTGATAACAGAGAGAAATCAAGACTATGTAATCTTTACCTCCAAGCATATGGTCTCTGATTTATGTCAGAAATCCTTATGGGTGTGAACACATCAATTTAAACTGCTCAAGTTCTGCTATGAAAGAGTTTCCTGTTAATAAACAATGACCATCTCCCTCCTTCAAGGGAAACCTCAAAAGACATTGCCCATTCCACAGACAGAAGTAGTATTGAGAACCTTCTTCTCAAAAAAGGTCGGTTTTTCAGTTCAGATCAAATGGATGTTATTGGTGGTTTTCACTTGTGCAAGCAGATTATATTCTACATTTACCTTTGACAATTGATCTGAATTTCATCAGAAGCAATAATCTAAGAGTACAAGATAAGCTAAAAGATAACAGGTAGGCAAGTATCATGTGATTCTAGGAAGATGGCTCAGTTGGAAAAAGCACTGTGCAAGCAAGGAGACTTGGGTCTGATCCCCAGTTCACACTGTGTGTGTGTGTGTGTGTGTGTGTGTGTGTGCGCGCGCGCGCGCGCGCGCACGCGCGCTCTCGTGTTAAATCCAAAAACAAGGGAAGCAGAGACTGGCAGAACACTAAAATTGCTGGCTAGTCAGTTTGACCTAACCAGTGAGCTCCAGATCAGCAAGTGATCCTGCTTCAAAACACAACAACAACAACAACAACAACAACAATAACAACAAAAAACAACCTAAGGTAGACAGTGCCTGAGGAACACTTCTTCTGGCTTCCATGTATACATGTATTCATGTGAGTGCACAGACAGACACACATGGCTCATGTAGCAAAATCTTTAGCATGTTCTATTGATCAGAAGCAAGCACAAGACTGTCCAAGACCTAAAGTGAAAGGATTAGGCAAGGACATAATCACCAGATGAGGTTAGGGGTTGGGGAACTATTTAAAAAGCAGATAAGATACTGTCATACACAAAAATAAATTCAGATGTGTAGAACTGATTATATTGTTCCTTTGTTCAAAATCAAGACACAGTCCATTTCTTTATTGCTTGGCTCAACAGTTTTTTTTTTTTCTTACCAGCTCTTTCTTCACTGCAAAAGAAAAAAGAAGAATAAACACATTAAAATAACTGTGGTAATTGGAATGTTTTCTGAAAACAGGGATGAATTGAAGGTTGAGGTATGAATACAACAAAACTAAGTTTAAACATTGGTATTATAATCCAGGGTAAAGTGGTTACTGCCCTGCTATACATTTATCACAGCCATTCCTCACCTGTCTGGGTTGACAACTCACTTCACAGATGAGTGGTCTATTAATGACAAAGTAGGCAGGCTCCATTGCAGATAGATTGATAAACTGAAAAATGAATAGACCTAGGTAGTTGAATTGAGGATATGAATGTTAGATTTTTACTTTTTACTTTTAGGAAACTTAAAACACCATCTATTTCTAAAATGTTTTTAATGACCCATGAATAACTAGTAAGTACATGTGCCCACTTCCAGAACTCTCTGGATTGCAAAGACTCAGGGGCTTCAGGTAAGGGGACTTGAGTTCTCAAAATAGAATATGTGAGAAGACATTCACAACCTAAGATATGATTTCTCTCTCTCCCTTAGTCATTCCTATAGCATCTAACAGCCGAAGACTCAGCTATCTATGATTCAGAACAATCCATCCCAAAGTTGAGCTACCTATACAAATATGAATTTAATCTGATATAGCTTAGTGATTTGTATGTAAGTGTTACAGCTCTGAAAGAAAAGATATCCTGGCCATCAGAAGCCAAGGAATACCTATAGCATTGAAGGAAAAGGTATCCCAACAAAATTGTTACAGCTCTGTTCTAGGCAGAGACAGGTTTCCCCCAGCAAAGTCCTTGCTCTGGGAATGGTTTCCCTAATGCAAGTTTAACAGCTTTGCTCTAGCGGGAGGAGGGTTTCCCCAATGAGATTGTTACAGCTCTGATCTGCTCTGCTCAAGGAAATGTTACAGTTCTGCTTAGCTTCCCCTGAGTGTAACAATTCTGCTCTAGCAAGGGAAAGTTTACCCAGCCAAAGGGTTACAGTTCTGCTTTGCTCTGCTCTGGTGAAAATTGTTAAATTTCTGCTCCACTCTGCTCTGCTCTGGGAAAACAAAGTCCTTACAATCAAACTCAGGCTGGTTGGTGGTGGTGCAGGCTTTTAATCCCAGCTTTTGGGAGGCAGAGTCAGGAAGATCTCTGTGAGTTCAATGCCAGCCTGGTCTACAAGAGCTAGTTCCAGGACAGCCTCCAAAGCCACAGAGAAACCTCGTCTCGAAAAACAAAAACAAAAAAACAACAAAAAAACAAAACAAAACAACAACAACAACAAAACCTCACTTAGGAGACTTGTTGCTTTGTTTTGGTTTTGGTTTGGCTTGGCTTGGTTTTTCTACGCAGTTTTTTCCTGTGTAGATTTGGAGCCTGTCCTGGAACTTGCTTTGTAGACCAAGCTGGTCTTGAACTCACAGAGATCTGCCTGACTCTGCCTCCTGAGTGCTGGGATTAAAGATGTGCACAACCACTTTCTGAAAGGAGAAATCCAGGAGAGTGGTTACCTCTGCCAGGGTGGAAAAATGGCAGCCCCAACCTGAACAGGTACAGGACTTATATAGGGTTCCTTATGGGTGAAGCTTTCCAAAGTGGAGATTTTCAGGATCTGGATTGGTAGGATCTCAATTCCTGAGCTTGGGACAAACTCAAGAGATTGGTTGGATTTCATGCTCAAGGATTGGTTTGTTTCATGCTCAGGGATTGGTTGGATTTCAATTCCTGGGTTGGTTAGAAGCAAGTGTGTTTCATTGGCTCTGGTCTCAGGGCCAGGGTGTTCTTCCACTGGCCTCTTTTACCCTACAATATAATGATTATCTAAATTGTTCTAGAATAATAAAAATTTAGAAGTCAGAAATTGAGACAAAGACTTGATAAATTCAAAAACAGTGGAGAGTCAATTGACTGACCCTCTCTCCACATTTTTCCTGAACTACCAGCCCCCAAAATCCACTCTTTTCTTTTCCTGTCCTCTCCAGCAGACCTCCTCAGTCCTCCAAGAACTTTATGGATAATCCCAGTCAGCCAATCACTGACCTATGATTTAAGGTGGCTTTATTGGTACAGTAGAATGGCTATATGAACAGTAGAATGGCTTCAGCAACATTTCCCCCCTTTGTCTAAATAAAAAGGACAGGTTTTAACTCCAGAATAGTAAAA